AAAGGTAGTAAGTACAGTGGAGCAAAGATACTCTCTTCAACTAAAGGTACTGGAACAAGTGGAGATTCATGTGCAAATATCTGATTCTAGATACATACCATATATCCTTCACAAAAATTAACTCAAATTGATGCAGTACACAAAAGTACAAAATTTCTAGATGATAACAGGAAAAAACCTAGATGACCTTGGGTATGATGATGATTTTTTAGATACAACACCAAAGGCATAATTCATGAAAGAAATAATTGATAAGGTGGACTTCATTAACATTAAAAGCTTGTGCTCTGTAAAAGACATTGCCAAGAGAATGAGAAGAAAAGCCACAGACTGAGAGGAAATATTTGTAAGAGGCACATCTAATAAAGGACTATGATCCAAACAAAGATTCTTAGAACTCAACAATAAGAAAACAACCCGTTTAAAAAAATGGCTCAAACACCTTAATGGGCACCTCACCAGAGAAGATATTCAGATAGCAAATAAGCACTTGAAAAGATGCTCCACATCATATGTCATCAGGGAAAATCAAATTTAAAACAACAATGAGATACCACTACACACCTATTAGGTCCAAATCCAGAACACCAACAACACGAAATGCTGACAAAGATGTAGAGCAACAGGTACTCTCACTCATTGCTGGTAGGAATGCAAAGTGGTACAGCCACTCTGGAGGACAGTTTGGTGCTTTCTTACGAAACTTAGGCATACTCTTACCTTAATGACCCAGCAATTGCACTCCTTGATATTTACCCAAAGGAGTTGCAACTTAATTAAGTCCAGTTGAAAAACCTGTACATGGTATTTATAGCAGCTTTGTCCACATTGCTAAAATGTAGACGCCACCAAGATGTCCTTCATTGGGTGAGTGGATAAATAGACTGTGGCATATTCAGACAATGGAATACTATTCTTCATTTCTTTTTATTGCTGAACAATATTCCATTGTGTGTATAATACCACATTTTATCTGTTTATCAAGTGATGAACATTTAATTTGCTTCCATTTTGGGGGCATTAATGAATAATGCTTTCTCGAATGAAAGGTTTTTATGGGGAAATATATTTTCATTTCTCTTGGGTATGTACCTAGGAGCCAAATTAATTGCTGGGTTATCTAGTAATTCTATCCTTCACTATTTGAAGAGCTGCCAGACAGAGTGATTGTACCATCTTACATTCCCACCAACAGTGTATAAGGGTTCCAGTTTCTCTATTGGGTTGTCAGAAAAGTCATGATGTATTTTTCTATGTTTTTCATTGCAAAAATGTGTCATGACTTTTCCTACAATCCGATACATTCTCGTCAATAGTTGTCACTGTTTTGTTGATTACAGCCATCCTATTGGAATCTCATGAAGTGGTATCTGATTATAGTTTTGATTTGCATTTCCCTGATGACTAGTGATGTTGAACATCTTTTCATGGCTTGTTCACCATCTTACATCTTCTTTGTCAAATTTAATAGTGAATTATCTTTTCTTTATTGAGTCGTAATAGTTCTGTTTATATTCCAGATACATTCAGTTATCGGGCGTTTGTTTTGTAAAACTCCCATTCTCTGAGTTGTCTTTTCTCTTTCTTGGTGGTGTCCTTTGAGGCATAAAAGTTTTAGTTTTCATGAAATCCAATTTATCTATTTTTCTTTTATCACTTGTTATTTTTGTTTAATATCTAAGACAGCATTGTCCAATCTAAGGTTATGAAGATTTACCACTATATTTTGTTCCAAAAGTTAATACATTTAACTTTTTTAAGTCTTTGATTCATTTTGAGTTAATTTTTGTATGCAATGTGGAGACAGGGTTTAATTCTTTTGCATGGGGATATCCAGTTGACCCATCATCAATTGTTGAAAAGACTATGGAAAGTGTCTTAGATCCCTTGTTGAAAGTCAATTGACCATAAATGCAGACATCTGTTTGTTTTTTCAAAAAGATCTGAAATCTTTCGAGTTGTCCTTACCGAGAAAAATGAGGCAGAGTGTTACAGAGAGTAATTAAATCCTTTGTTTTTCAAAATGAATTTAGGTTAACTTCCCATTAGAACCATGATTCTTGGAGGATGCCATCTAAACTTGTATCAGTCTCATGTGCCTTTTAAATTACTTTAGTAATTGAAGAATCTTCATTTAATGTGCTTTTCTTGGATTTTACCTTGGATCTTACTATTTACATTTGGAAATCTGAGTTTAAAATATCACTTCTCTTTTACTTTGTTCACAAACATTGTAAACACGTTAGAATTAGTCCCAGTATTATAGAGGTTTGGGGTTTTTTTCTTTCACTTGTTTTCAAAGTTTAGCTGGAGGCAACTGTTAATCTTTAAAGGAGTCACGCTTATAAAGTTGGGATAGTGCTGAGTGGCTGATGTTCTGCTGATTCCAGCTGTAAAATGTTTTTGAAGAGCAGAAAAACAATTTGCTTTTATTCCAATACACTATAATTCTTGAGGTCCATTGAGTTTCTAAAAACATTGACTCAAAATGTAAAATGAAGAATTGTTAACTACATTTTCCCTTAGTATCCTTTTGTTTTAGAAAGGAAAATATACGTTTTAGGATCTATTTTGGGCAACATGGTTGGTTATCAGAATGGATTGAGAGTTAGATTATGTTGACATTAAACTTCAGGAGATCAGCTACCTCTAATGTAAAGCTATAATTCAAAGGTATTTATTTCTGTTTTTCATTTGGTTCTTCTTTCATGACATTTCAAAGGGAGAAACTTTCCTTTAGACCATATTTATACTAATTTCTCCAGCTGTGGAAATATCTGTTGAATATGTCTACACGTATGCATATGTACATTTTTGTATGAATAAGATTAGTTGACTCAATAGGAGTGTAGTAATGAATCTATTATGTAAATACTGCATATTATTTGTTAGAATTGTCTTTGTGCTATTTTAGAGGGCCTTTGTACTGTGAATGTATTCATCATATGTGTCCATAAGAAGCACGGAGTGGATATAGTAATATCGTAGTTACCTAGAGGTCAATTTTCCCAAAACCCAAAATATCCCAAGCACACCACTTTGAGAAAAAAAAAGTTTTTTAAATGATGTGCAAAAAATTAGAAAACTCGTACTTTTTATTGGATGTGACTTTCCCTTAAGGTCATTGCCTTCTTTATACCTTCTTTATTTTCTTTAAAAATGAAAACTCAAAATAGATGGCAGTTGAAGGAGGTGACATGAAAACTATAATGGAAATATCAGTGTGTGCTTCTTCAGTGCTTGTGAACACAGCAACACCAGCATTTCTACATGATGACCATTGCTACTCAAAGGACTCTCTGAATTAGGGAACCGTGTAATATACATTTAAGAAAGATTTCTATTGAAAATAGTTTTAAAATGAAAGCTCTGACTCTCAGCTGAGTACACTTTTTGAATATTTGAAACATTTTCTTATTCAGATGACTTTTTTGCCCGTGCCTTCTTAATATGCTTTGATTAATTTAGGTGCATTGTTTAATTTATTCAAACATCTTTATTTAGCTGTTGTTTTTCAGGTAGGGTTCTAGACAGTGGAGAGTCAGCAGGGAACAAAACAGACACAAATTCTTGACCTTACATATTTTTTTAATCAAGTGAGAGGAAGATAGAAAATAAACAAAAAATAACATATACATTTTTATTTTTGACAGTAGATGTCAAAGTAGTTTTTTTTTCTTATTAACAAGTATGCTTTTGAATAAACTATCATGCATTGAATACTCTAGTCCTTGTGGGATCAATAACAGACTGGGAACTTCTGCCAGGTAGAGTATTGTCAGCTGTACACTTTACAATTCAGAAATGCTATATTTTTGCTATTATGCAACATGTGTTTCATGTAATTTGGCTTTTTTTTTTCCCCATGGGAAGAAAAGGGTATTGTTATAAAATCTTTCTGTCTCATGATAGTATACATTTAGATTCCAAATTGAGACCTGAAGTTTGAAATAGATAACCTCCGTTTGATCCTCTAATGTACATTTTTAGAGAAAAACATTTGTGAAAATATTAACCTGGAATTTGTGGAATGATAAACCAGGAGTTCTTTAGGTTAGGCTTTTTGTGTTCTTTGATACTGCAGTCTCTTTGGACTAGTCCTTTGAAAGCAGTTTTGTGAGACAGTGAATTATTATTTTGTGTGGTTGACAGATGAGATGTTAGCCTCAGAGATCTTATTGGCATAGCCAGGAGGAGAGATGAGAGCCTCTAGGATGACACACATCCCTTCCTCGACTAAATTATGTGTGTCTTGATTAGTAGAGTACAGGAAGATGGCATTGGTGTTTTCATGTATGGGTGGTATTCACTGTCAGGAATATGTGATTTATTCTTGTTGAAAGGAGAGAACTGCAAAATAACCCTTCCTACTAGTTTGTTATTGGCTGGGCTGAAGACAAGAAGAATGAAATTGAGTGCTTAATGTAGGAATATGTAAATAGTTCCTCAACATCTTTACACCGAGGCACTCTTTTTGGATTACTTGTCTTTGGCCCCATGCTTAAGTACTTTTTCTTTTTTTTGTTGTTTTTTTCCCCCTTTACTACCATGGTATTGTCATTTCCTTTTATGTGTATATCTTCCTTATCTTTTGCCCTTAAATTCCTGAACCAACTGTATCCTTCCTCTTTCCTCTCCAAACATTGTTGCTTGACTTATGAAGTTGTAGGCTTACAAACTTTAAATGTTTCCTCTTTGCTACTCTCTCTTGTTCTACGAATAGCTGTATGAAATGTCCAATTTTTGCTAAAAGTGATTACCAGTGTTTCCCAGATTTGTTTCTTAATTGGAACAAAGTCAAAACCGAAAGGAAATTGTAGAGGAGAAAATAAAGAACCTCACTTGGCTATTAAAAAAATGACTGGTATTACGGGAATTTTATGTGAAACTTGAAAAAAAGAAAAGCATTTGATTGTTCCATTTTTATGGCATCAAAATATGATGCACCAATAGAAAATTTATTAAGACATTACTCAATATTGCCATTTGACATGTTTCAGGCTGCTATCCTTGTCCAGGGCCCAACATGAACCCTATTGCTCTTGGGAGCCGCTGGCTGGCTTATGCAGAAAACAAGGTAAGGCATGGCCCGTATTTGGATTACTGGTAATGGAGCAAGTGTTGAAGAATTTTCTCTAAGTGATTACCAACCAATAACGAGTGTTGAATTACTAGTTTGTTTGTTTTTTTGGTTTGGTTTTAGTTTTGGTTAGATGCCCAATAATTGTCCTATCTTCCTTCTTGCTTAAGATCAGTATTTGGACTCAACCTTAATATTCTATGCTTAGTTTTATCTAGAGAACTTTACTCCATTAATCTTAAAGCACAGCGTTGATGCAGTCATTTCTGTTGAGCTGGACATCAGGAGGCAGGAATGACTTCTGTCTTTATTGGTAGATTGGGAACCTGAGGCATTGGATAATTAAATTTACTATAGCTATTTGTCTATAACTCAATCTAAACAAGGGTTCAGGCATTTGTCTTAATAATTAAATCACTTAAATCACAGATGCTCACATTTTGTTGAATCTTCCCATTATTGATCAATTTTCATTATTGATCAATTGGTCATCATAGTAAATGAAGATATTATATTTATGCACTGAAAATTTTATTTATGTCCAATTCAAAGCAAAAGGCAAATTTGAATTTTCAGAAAGAAAAGGTGAAATCCTTTTTATGCTCCTTAGTGCCCTGTGTGTGAATAGATTGTAGAATGAAATCTAAAAAATATTAGACTTCAAAGAGGATTATCATTTTTGTTTCACTTTTGCTTGTTTGTAAAAATATTGAAGAGTTTTTAACACAAGTCTGGATATGGCAAGTACAATAAGTATTTAGTGCAACCACAGAGCAAGTAAATATCTAGCTTCTCGAATTCATAAAATCAAGAAACTACTGAAGAAAGTTATTTTTCTGAATGAATTCCTTGACACTTTTTCTAAAATTCTGTCTGCTACAGGTAGTTATTTTACATCTTATTGAATGCTACAATGCCATATTTATGCTCAATCCTGTTCTTTATCTTGATTTTCGAGTATATCTCAAAAAATATATATATATAGCTCTCGTCAAATGAGACAAGAGGCATACAATTCAGTGTGGTGACAATGGTGTCTTCTAATGTTTACATCCGTAATACATTTCTTTGAGTGCTGGAGACATCCAAGAAGATGTAATAATTGTCACTGGCCCTTGTAGATGTATTCTCACGTGTGAAAAATTACCCAGTTAGAATTGTGTTATGCAAATAGTAACATTTTTTTCATGTGGAAAGGACTCCCTCCACAGATGCATATGCTGGGTGTGCGCCAGTTGTCTTGCCTTTGTTGAGATATGTGTAAATAATATCTAGTGTTACATAAAAGACCAGAAAGTATAGTGGCATTCACAGGGAGTTTGCTAATCAGCTGGTTGTTTTATCCTTTGGAAGGAATATTTCCAGTTAAATGTCTTTCCATAGTATTTACATAAGAGCTAGTATTTATCAACAGTTTCTCATTGTTTTTTAGCTTTTGGGCTGAATGACGAATTGCAAAATATAACTAATTTTTGGAAAAACAATCTCTTGTAGTGAAAATGCTCTTTGACTAAAAATTTAAGCAATAGGCCATATATCTTGATTGGGTTTGTTCTTCAATGCCTCTTTTTAACTGTACTTTTAATTCAGAAAACTTACAGAAAACTTGCAAGAATAAATAAAGTACAAGTAGCAGAGAGCACACCCATGTACCCTTTACTCTGAGCCATTTCAGCATAAGTTACATATATCATATTACCCCTAAATATTTAAGTTATCAGGCAGTTTAATATTGATGAAATTCTTTTATCTAATTTACCATCCACATTCCAATTTTGTCAATTAACCATAACATGTCATTTGTAGATTTTTTTTCCCTATGGTACAAGATCCAGTCTAAGATCAGGTATTATATTTTGTTGGAATGTCCCAGTAGACTCTTTTAGTATAGACTATTACACCGTCTTTCTCTTTTACAACATTGACAATTTTGATGGTACAACTCCCTCTCTCTACCCACTACTCTTTTAAAAAAATAGAATGATTTTTACTTTGAGGTTTTTTGTTTTGTTTTGTTTTTAGCTGAGCCATCCAGCCACCTGTTGGCAGCTCAGCTTGGGCCGGGACACGAACCGCTGTTGTTCAGAGCTCACACTCTTGAGTGAGCTCTTAACCAACTGAGCCACTTGGCCAGCCCAACTTTGAGTTTTTTTATGTTTTCTCTTGATTATGTTGAAGTTAATGTAAAAATCCTATTTTTTATTTCATATTTTTGGTATGGACTCATGGATTCCTATTTTTTCATTGACTTAATTTTTTCTGTCTTTATCAAATTCTCCCAGAGTTGAACAATGAGCGCCCCCCTTAGGCTGGTTCTTGTGATATTATGACATGCATTCATCAGATAGTTTTAAAAACTGTTTCCTGACTTGCTATCATAAGAATGTGTCCAGGTTCATCTATTCCTTGCCCCACCTCAGCCCTGGAATCTGCTACTTCTGACCCTCCTGGTTCTTTTAATGGATAATGGTATTAATTCTAAGCTTTGTCCAGTGGGTGTACTCATTGTTACTGGGGTCTTTTTGCCTCTAGACCCTTTTAGTGGCCAAAGTTTGGAAACATATTTACATTGTAGCCACACATATACTTCTACATATACATAAATATACATAAATATATGTATGTATACTTGTACCCTTATGTATACACATATACACATTCTTTCTTTTCATCCCCCATTTGTTATTTATATGTCCCCTGTTTTGCATAGGAGACTGACATAAGCACATTTTCTTCCTTTGCTCAATCCTATAATACAAAAAAATAATTGCAGAATTGCTTGTTAATACCACTATGAAAGTCAAACCAAATAAAAAGAGTTTAGTATATTTTTGCAATTCTCGCCACTCCCTTTGCTGCCTAACATTGAATGTGTGCAGTTAAATACTGTATTCATACTTACTTTGATTAGTTTCTCCTTCATTGTTCTCTTTCTATCATCTTTCATTGCTGTTACAGTTTTCATTTGACATATAATTGTACACATTTGTTTTTATATTTTATTTATATGCTTATGTATTTCATTATATGCTATATATATTTATATTTCCCTTTCTTTCCCAAAAGATAATATAATATATGTGCTCTTTTGTATATTGCTTTTTTGGCTTACCAATATTTCCTGGAAATTAGCCCATTCGATAGAGTTTACACTACACAAATTTCTGATTTTATCTTTAATGTTGATGAACTGAGATCTAAATGTAATTTTGTAATGAACGATTCTATGCTTTAAACAAAAATTTCAGGCTCAATTATGTTTATGTAGAAATTCTGACTCAGAATTCAGTTTTAATTGTTTTGTTCACATGTTTATTGCTTGCTTTCACATATTTATCCTTGATTATTGTAATTATCTGAAGCAGAGAACAGATAGTGGTATTTCCAAGATAGTGTTGCTTTTTTTGCACATCTAGTAGGAGGCATCAGAGGGATAATTTTCATAATTCTTTTGAATGTGTATTTACAGATGAATGAATGAGTAAGTGAATGAGTGAGACACATTCTTTTTATTAACTAAAATGATTATTTTCTAGCTCCCTGTTTTCTCCTGTATGAAATCACATTTGCTGATCACCTGTCTTTTGGAAAATTCTTCACCACTGACCTTGAAATCTGCTTAAGCAACCCTCACTGGACAACTTGACATCTCCTATCAGACTTTAAAGATATTCCATTATAACATATTATTATTGGTTTGAGTGATTATTTTTTAATAAATGTCAGTGATGAAGAAAATTTTGATTTTATTTCTTTTTAATTAATTAATTTTTTTAGCTGCGCCATCCTGCCACCTGTTGGCAGTTCGGCGGCAGCTGAGCTCAGGCTAGGCATCGAACCACTGTTGCTCAGAGCTCAAACTCTTAGAGCAAGCTCTTAACCAACTGAGCCACTTGGCCGGCCCCCAAAATTTTGATTTTAGAATAAAAGAATAAAGGTTTAATATTAATTTTTATCAGTTGACTTGGTTTTAAATTATATGAAGCGTTTTTTGTTCTTTTGTTTTGGAAGATGTAGATTATGTGTGAATTCCATGGGCTTTAATAATTCATATTAGACTATGGAACTGTTCTAATACTCTACTATAGTCATTTTATTAAAAAAATTTAAATGTAAAGATCTGACTAATGATTTTTTTTCAAAACTAAATTTGGGAATTGTAGGAGCAGTGGAGGATTTATTCCCAGCTTATTGCTCAACACATGAGAGTATCATGGATGTCAAACTAATGATACACTTTGGAAACTGGCAGGTTGATTTATGTACACCAGGCAGGAAAAAGGGCATGTCTTTTTTCATGGTAAAACTATTGGGTCTTCAGAAAAGTCATGACGCATGTTTGCGGCAAATAGCGCTAGTTCATTCTTGGAAGTACTAGAGTGATTTGCATCTATGTGAGTGTTATGTCATTTGACAGCTGACAGTTCTAGCTTCATTCTAAAAAAAAAAAAAGTTGAGTGATTTGGTTGAGTTTTGGAGATTTTACAACAAGCTGAAGATGGAAGACCAAACTGTGCATTTTTGCCATATTTTTCTATTTTACTTCCATAAAGGGAAGAACATGCGTCAAGCTTGTGAAAAGTTGCTTAAAGTTTACGGTGACAATGCTCTATAAGAACGTCAGTGCCAACAGTGGTTCATGAAATTCCGTGCTGGTGATTTTGATCTCAGTGACACTGTTTGGTCAGGGAGGCCCACCGAGGTTGATGACGACAAAATAAAGGCATTGATTGAGTCAAACCCATATTACACAACACAAGAGATTGCAGAAAACTGAACATCCATCATTCAAGCATTCATGACCACCTGAAGAAGCTGGGATACGTAAGCAAGCTCGATATTTGGGTTCCGCATGAACTCAAAGAAGTTCATTTGATGGCACATATAAACATCTGCAATATGCTCATTAAATGTGAGGAAAAGAACAATCCTTTTTTTTTTTCTTTTAAGATTTTATTGGGGAATCGGGAAAGGGGAACAGACAACTTGCTCTCCTTTTGTCCTTCAGTCTAGTTGTGGAGGACATCACTTCACTGGCCCATGTTGGTATTATCATTGTGCTCTTCCCAGGTGAGGCAGTCAATCACCGGCCATTGGACGGCTGCTCATGGTGGCTCATGGAAGCTCATGCTGGCTGCCAGCCACTCATGGTAGCTCACGGCAGCCCACTGCAGCAGGGGCTGCAGCCTACATCATCTCTGGTGACTTATGGCAGCCCGCCTCCAGGTTGAGCTGTTGTTCACCATCTTAGCTGTAGAGGGCGCAGCATCACTGGCTCTCACTGGGGATCTGAACCGGGGCCCTGCTGCTCAGAGCTGGCGTCCCAAACCAACTCTTAACCAATGCACCACTTGGCCGGCCCTAATGATCCTTTTTTGAAGCAACTGATAACTGGTGATGAAAAGTGGATTGTTTACAACAATGTGGCACTCAAACAGTCTTGGTCCCGATGAGATGATTTGCTCAAACGACATCGAAAGCAGACATTCATCAGAGGAAGGTTGTGCTCTCAGTGTAGTTGGATTTTAAAGGTGTTGTGTTTTTCGAGCTCCTACCAAGGAACTAAACAATCGATTTGAATGTGTACTGTCGGCAATTGGACAGTTTGAATGAATCCATCGCTCAGAAACGTCCAGAGCTTGTTAATTGTAAAGGAGTTGTGTTCCATTGCGACAACGCGAGACCACACTTAAGTTTGATCACTTGTCAAAATTATTGGAGCTTGGAGGGAATGTTTTGCCACACCCACCATACTCACCTGACCTTGCACCATCAGACTTCCACTTGTTTCGCTCTTTTCAAAACTCCTTGTGTGGTATAACATTCAATTCAGATGAGGCTGTAAATCAGCACCTTGTTCAGTTTTTCGCAATAAAGACAGGTCCTTCTATGAACGAGGAATTATGAAGCTCACTGAAAGATGGCAAAAAGTTATCGAACAAAATGGGTAATATATCATCGATTGATCTTTGTTCTTTATATAAATAAATGACCTTTGAAAAACATAGAAAAAATATGTCATGACTTTTCCGAAGACCCAGTAGTACGCCTTATGAAGTGGATAGCTACTATATGTGTCATAGTGGACTTATGCACAATTTGTGCCACTTTTCCAGTGACATGGTTGAAAATGGAAATATGACAATATTTTTGTCAATTTTAAAAAAAGTTTTGTTTTATAATCTTTATGTAGGATTTAAGAGAACAAAACCTCCAATTTGCTAGCATGTTAAATATTTAATGTTAGGAAGGCATGCTTCCTTTGATTTTTGTTTTTAAATTTTATTGTGGGAAGGCTGCCAGATCCCAAATCCTACCATTTCAGTGTTTATGAATTCTTAAAGACCATTCATCTTGTAATTAAAAATTGTATTTGAGCATGAAACTGCCTGAGTGGCACCAGTAGATTATAAAAAAGGAGGAAAAGTGTCTCAGCAGGGCTTTTGGCTGTTTGTATGAAATACACTCATGCAAACATTCCCACCCACCACAATCATTATGCATGGTGAATAAGCTCTACCCTAATAGCCTGTAGAGTTAAACAGTTGAATAGAAATGACTTTCTGGTTTCTTTCTCTCTTTTTCCAGTTGATTCGATGTCATCAGTCCCGTGGCGGAGCCTGTGGAGACAACATTCAGTCTTATACGGCCACAGTCATTAGTGCTGCTAAAGTGAGTATCCACTAGTCGCTGTGAGTTGTGATTATGTGGAATAATTACTGAGTGTTTCTCCCAAATTTGATTGAGATTGCCTCTTCCCTTTGCATTCCCAAATGAAAGTAAGAAGCCAGTCAGAATTATTTTGTCACTCATGAGACACGGTGGCAAAATGATTAGGTATTTAATTTCTTAAGGTTCATAAATAGTACTTTACTGTCTGTTGTAATGATTGTAGGGTTTCTGTTTATCCAGTTGTAAATATTTAAGTCTGTTAACTGAAGTCTGTTATGTAATTAATAACTCTTTCAAAAGAAGTTTTACGTGTCTGAAGTGGTGACTGCTGGATTCTTTTTGTATGATTTTCATTATCCTATCTCTACTGATGTCCCTTTGCACCTTTGAACATTGAGGAATCTTTTTTACATAAAAAGATTATTCCTTCAGAAAACGGGAGTTAAACCCCTGGCACATTAAAAAATTCGCTTATGTCACAGGACTGCCCCCTGCACGTTTGTCGCGTGAGTTCTTTTTGTGTGTTTGCGAGGGTTAATTTTGCTGATGGCTTGTAAGCTTGATGCTGATTATAAGGTATTCTTATAATCACTATCCTTTTGAATTCCGAAGTATACAACAAAACAATTCTAATAATAGGGATGACATAGTGAATCTAAATGACAGCATGTAATAGAAAGCACAACTGTTCAGAAAAGAACAACAGTTTAAAGGAAACCACAGGGAGGGAATCAAAGGTCACACTGTTTTTATGTAAAACAAATACAAAAATACTTCAAGATTGATCACAAATGCTAACAGGGTGTGCTTTAGAATGTGCTCCTTGTTTGATGAGAGAAGCATTACATACTTTTCACTCAGAAGGTAAATACCGAATGTCTTTATGTTTACAGCACTATATATTTTAGATTTCAGAATCTTTATAAAAACTGTTTACTTCTGTCCGTGTGTATGCAAACATTACGGTGGTTATTGCAGTGAAGAGAAATCTGAGGCAGAGTAATTAGGCAGCGTCACTGTTATTCAATTCGTTTATAGTAGATCCACAAACTAGACCAATGAGATCTACTTCTCAAGTATTACATTTTTTTTTAGACTTATCTGTCATACACTTGGCATCTGGCTAGCTCATTGTATTATCATTTTGACTGATTTTCAGTTATGTGATGGAGGACAACTTTTCAGCTCTCCTTTGCTATAATTATGCGTTTGTGTGTCTATGTAAAAGGAAAGTGACCTGCTTGGTTCAGTAACTGTTTAGCCGTTTTAACTAGTAGCTGAAAGTGGACATGCTGAAAATGAGGCTAGACCAAATATGCTTTGAAAAGAGCAAGTCCAAACTCCCTACTTTTTATACTCCAGTATTTCAGACGGTGAGGAATATACTTATGTCTTCCACATATAAACACTAAGAAATTATGTTAATGACAGCCCCTTGATCCAGTCAATTTTGAATAGACCATTGGTTACCAATGAAATTGGTGTTAATTGAAATTCATTGTTAGCTCTGGCAATGGATAGAATTCTGCCTTTAGCTCTTGAACAGAGTTGTTCATGTTTAATTTTGTAAAATTGCATTTCCCTGATTTTAATGCTTATTCATGTTCTAGTTTGTAAATTTGCAAAATGAAGTGAAAACATAATCATGGAATAAAAGTCACCCATTTCTTGATAGTTTTAACACATTCGATCCAATCATATATTATACCCTGTTGTTTTAACTTATACTTAAATGTCATGAAATAGTTTTGAAAACATTTTTCTTATATTTATTTGTTTGCTTATAGACTCCTGAGTTAGAGAGCATGAGCTTTCTTTAAAAATATTGACAAATTATTTTCCTAAAATCCTACCAGAAATAGAATGATCCTTCATTTCACTTGGATATTTTATATAGGAAGGATTGGAAAGATGGGATGATTCCCTCCCCCAGCCTTGATAATTTCTCTTACTAAGTTATTGGATATTACAAACTTTGTGGGTGAATTAGCCTTGTGAGGTATAAAGCAGTTCCAGTTTTACATGGTAAGAACATCAAAACTACTTCTCTAATTATGTAGTACAATTATAAATATATATGTTTGTTGTTTATGTTGCTGTGACATTTTGGATTATACTCATATTAGTGTGTTCACTTGGGAAAATTAATCATGATGAACACTTATAATTCCTGTACTTTGCTGTATAATGGGGTGTAAAAGTTTATTAAGAAAAGAAAGTCTAATCTCACCAAGATATCTTCAGATCTAGAAACCCTCTCCAGAGAATTCTAAACAATGACTATGTTACAAAGATTCTTCCATAGAATAAAAAAGAGTTAGATTATGCCTAATTTGTGTTATGATGCAAGATTGCCTTGTATTGAAACTTGATAAGAGCCTTATGAAAAGCAAAAACTATAGTCTTGTCTTAAGAACATAGATATAAAAAATACTAAATAAAAAAATAGCAGATAAAAGGAAACAATGTATAGGAAGAATAACATATTACAATTCAGTTGGGATAATTTCACTATATAAGGCTGGTTTATTACTGAAAATCAATGAGTGTAATTTGCCACATTAAGAGAATAAAGGGGAAAAAAAGATTATCTCAATATATGCACAAAAAGATTGATAAAATTGGACAAATATATATTGATAAAGTCTTTTAATAAATAGTGATAGTTTCTGGTTCTCTAGAATTCCATTTCTCTCAAATTACCAAACTGTTTAAATACAGTAAAAAAGGTCATCTTAAAGATGTTTCTGATAACTCCAATATCTGGCTCTCTTTTGGGTATATTTTTTGTTATTTGTTTCTACTGGTCCTCATTTACGACATCTTGACTCTTTGTTGGCCAGAATTTGTTTCAAAAATCTTTACAGTTTTGAGTTTGAGATGATACCAGAGTTCAGTAGCACTATCAAGTCTTGTATTATCTTAATCCAATTTCGGGAATTGAGATTACTTAAATTATTTAAATAAAGCTCATCTGAAATAACTCTGACAGCCTGATTACTACAGGTTCTGTCTTACTTGTATTGTAGATCCCATTATGTTCTAACCCAAAGCATGGAGAGAAGGTCACCAGGTTGGCTCTTTTGAATATGACCACTAGCTCCCGACATCTATCAGAAGCACCACTCCGTCTCAGCAATGCCCTCTAGAATCATCAAATGCATCTCAGCCTAATACCCAGCTCACATGTCTGGATTTCCTTGTTGTCTTAGATTTAGACCTAGTAACTCTTCACTATCTCGTTAAATATTCAATACCTTCAAACAGTTTTTTAAAAAAGCTCTCCCCAGTTTTCCAACTTGTTTTCATTGTTAGGATTGATCTGACTTACCTAGACTGTCATTGAAAATAGAAAATAAAATTTCTTACTATTTCTTACCATTTTTTATCACTTTTAGGTAATACGATATTTTTTGAGATAGAACATGGAAGATGTTTAAAAAGCCATGTAGTATGTGGTCCTTACGAAAATACTAATTTTAAAATAAGTACACATACATTCATTGTCAAATCACTTTCTCAGAAAGAGTGTTTATAGTTTTCTCTCTCTGTTGACAGCTTCTTATCTGAATAGAGGTTACTTAGTCACTTTGTTATACAGAAGGATTCATTTATAAATTTTTAAATTTTTTGTCTCACTATATAATTGTAAGTATAAATATATTAATTGTATATGTACTTGGATCTCCTTAGCGGTAGTATTTTTCTTTTTCTTTCTTTTTTTTTTTTTTTACAATTTTGGCTTTTCAAATAGCATTTAAAAATTAATCTTTATACTTTTATTTATTTTTTAATTTATTGGGGTGACTATGGTCAACAAAATTACATAGGTTTCAAGTATACAGTTCTATAATACCTTATCTTTATATTGCATTATGTATTCACCACCCAGAGTCAGTTCTCCTTCCATCACCATATATTTGACCCTCTTTATCCTCTTCTACTATCCCTTCTCCTCCCTTACTGCCTGGGAGCTGCTAAACTGTTGTCTGTGTCTATGAGTTTTTGTTTCTTTATTGACCTTGTTCCTTTGTTGCCTTCAGTTTCATAATCCCACATAATCTTTATACTTTTAGATTTTTTCCCTTTGAATTTCAAAATGTATTGTCTTTCCTGATAAAGACTATAATAGTGATGAATTCTCTGTGATGGTGATAAAGGAAAAAATTTAATATTGAAATTGTTCAAATTGGATTATTGTGATATATTTATAAAATCTTGGTCCATATTTCCTAGTTACCCTATAACTGTCCTATTTGATGTTTCCTTTTAATGTGTTTTAACCCCAGTGTGGTAAATTGATTTAATAAAAATGCCTCTGTTTTCCCTTGTTATCTGATAACTTCTTAATGACATCTAACAGCTTTTGTGAGGGCAGCACCATTAGCACTAATGGGCAGGGAGGACAATTGATACAGCCTGAGAAAGGTTAAAGATGACTACTGGCCCTTTGGCAACTCTGTCTGTAACCGAACAGAATAAGTACCATGTTCATCTGAATTTTCGATCATAGTGGATTATCTCACACATTTGTTATAAATTTATGTTCAGTTTTCTTACAGACACGGTTTAGTTCTGTGAATACTCTTAAGATTATTATGAACTTTAACATTTAGATACCTCAGATTGTGAGGACACTCTAAGTTAACATCTCCATTTGGCCAAAATAGATTTTTTTTTTTGAATTCCTAATTTTTGCTTAGCCTCCACCCTTATTTTGTATGTTTTTCAGGAAGTCACCAGGTATGCGCATATCCTTTTTACTAAAATGTAGTGAAAAGGCTAATTACACTGTGAGGTGATTTAGGTATCTAAATATGGTATGTGAAAATTATTACATAACAACATCATATTTTGCTTCCGGACACTAGTGCTCATCGATGTGACATGGAAACAAATTTCTCCTCGAAACAAAGGTCTTTCTTTACTAATGTAGAAAACTCCTAGCATCCCTCTCTCACCTCCTGCATTAGACCTTGTTTTGAAAGTCAGTGAGCTATGATAGTCCTGTCTGGTCACTTACTATACAAAGTGTAGATTTGATGGCTGTTAAATTTTGGGTTTAGGTTTTTGTCCATTAATAAGATGACCCCACTGGTAGTCATTAGTTTGTTTTTGTTTCATTTTATGAGAATTATCAATAACTTCATGTAATATGAGCCTTTGACTATGAAATATACTACTCTGCTCCCCTCCCTCCACCTTTTGGAGTTTTTTCCTAGGTCTCTTATATTAACTTTTCCCTTTATCATTTGGTGTGCTTTGGTGTGCATCCCACTTTTTGTGTGCTCCAGTTATTTTAGTTGATTCCTATTCATCGGTATAAAAGCATGAAATAGGCTCAAGGGCAAATGGGGAGGATAGACAAGCTAAGACTTTAAACCTGAAAGGCATTCCTTTGATAAAGGGGTAGCTCCGTTTAAGTGGGAGCATCTCCATTAGCATTAATGGAGTAAGTACATCAACCAAGGCATCTCAGAGGTTAATAAGACTTCCTGGCCAGCGTTTGACATCAATACACTGTGGCGCCTGATTTTGTTGGTCCTTCAAGAGGCCTTCTTGACAACACACTAACAGACTTTGTGTAAGTCATTTCTTGTGAATTATTGAAACAAATGTTTGGCTGCTAATTGAGGAACACTGCTGTGTTTTATAATCACTGCAGTTTGAGTTTTTAGCACTAAACAAAACAGTTACAATTGATTTGTGGCTTTTTCCTGGTTTCAGTCAGCTGTAAGTTATATCTTTGCTTGAATTTAGCAAATGGCTTTGCTGGTCATATATTTAAGTATTTATTAAGATACACTATTATGGTCTTCGTACTCCCCTTACCCCCCACAATATTCATCTGTGTTCTGAATTCATAAAGTGTGAGATCACTAGTAGTAACAGGAATAGATTACAAGGCTATACTGGATAGCGGTTAAAAGCAGGCTTTGGAGATAGACAGTCCTAGTTTTGAATTCTGGCTTTGTCATTGGCTAGTTGTTTGAGCTGCTGTTTTACTTAACTTCTATAGCCTCAACTTTGTCTTCTGTAAACCTGACATGTTAGGAACTGTACAGAGATCTTTTATGTTGAGGGCCTTAACCAATTGCAAGTTTGTGGTAAAGGTTTCGTAAAATATAGCTACAGTAACATAATGCATGTATTACTAGTGTTAATTATATGCTTTTTTAATGGGTAATTTCTTTGGAAAACATGTCTCCTTTTTTAAATTCCAATCTAATTGTTTTTTAAATCACGTTTATTTCCCCATAATTTTTTTTTTTTTTTTAATAAGCTGAGCCATCCTGCTACCTGTTGGCAGCTCAGCGGCTGCTCAGCTCAGGCTGGGAATCGAACTGCTGTTGCTCAGAGCTCAAACTCTTGAGCGAGCTCTTAACCAACTGATCCACTCGGCCGGCCCTTCCCCATAATTATTTTTAAAAGAGTCACCTTACTAAAGATTAATTTGAAGTATTTTAATAAAAACTTTTTTTCACAATATGAGAATTGGAAAAAATTATTTCTGAATGTATGTCTATTATACATAATTTTAGATAATGTCCATGCAATCTAGACTACTTATTTTTGGCTCTAGTGAATAGATTTGTTTTCAATGTGTATGCATCATATAATTTTCTTTTTGCTTTAGCTTTCTTCCCTTTTTGACAAAACAAAACATTGCCTTAACATTATTGCTTGTTAATGCATATGAAAACAAAGAGATAATGAGATTCCCATAAAAGCAAAAATACTCACACACAGTTACTTTTATCTATTTACTTTGAATGAAATGGAACTGAAATGTAATTATAAAATACCTTAAATTGTCTTTAATTGAAGTTTTTATTAGAAGCATTACATTGAATTGTTTTCTGTTACTAGAGATAAAAGAACCTTCTAAGCTAATTTTATGTGATATTTCAATCATCTAGTAATTAGTATGTTGGATGGAGACTATTTTTCACATGCCAAAAGTTGACAATATTATATAACATATTCTAGATTATCTTTGGAAGCGTGGCCTTTTTTTACATGGGGATTCTACCAGGGTCATAGGTTTTTTCATGCTAAAAAATCGATTTAAAATCAGTTTCATAATACTTCAAAAAAGAGAACATCACATAGTTTCTACTTCTTACTATGTCAGGTATTTTGTTTTATACATTAAGGAAAGGAGAAAAAAGAAATAACTTTTGTAAAAATCTAATTGTACCGAATGTAAAACAAAGCTCTTTATCTATGGCGTTATTTTCACCATGCTGACTGATACCATTCATTCAAACTAGTACTGATTTTCTAACTAGAATTTAAGATCATATGAAAAGTCAGACTGAATTTCTGTGACAGTTCATTGCTACATATAAGCTTGTAAGAGAATAAAGAATTTAATGGTTAGAAGAATTAACAAAATTCGTATTTCCGTTTAGAATCCAAACTGATGTGAAGTCATACATTTTACCTTTCATTGTATAGACATTGAAAACTGGCCTGACAATGGTTGGAAAAGTGGTGACTCAGCTGACAGGCACACTGCCTTCAGGTGTGACAGAAGACGATGTAGCCATCCATAGTAATTCAAGGCGGAGTCCATTGGTCCCCGGCATCATCACAGTAATTGACACTGAAACAGTTGGAGAGGGCCAGGTAAGAACTTTCGAGGCACTTGATGTCCATTTTCTGCAGAGGATGGGCTGACTGAGAAGATATTTTGGGGTCAAAATCAGCCAAAATGTACTTGGACCTGGAGATTGTTAATTTGGGATTCTAGAAATCGAGGTTATTTCAGGTTAGAACTCCCCCCCCCACCCCAAAAATGATGAGTAACATGGTGAAAACCTGTTATTTCAAATTTTATTAATGTATCATACTTGATCATCAAATGGAGGTTCTAAGGAATTCTCTTGTTACCTCTTCATTAGGACATGTTTCATAAATAAATACTGTACATCTCTTTATACTGTTCTGTTCATAATACTGTTTCCTTGTTTTTCTTTAAACAGTATTTGTTAGAACTTAAATCAGAAGATTAATAATTTGTTTTTAAGGTAGGGGCGTGCTCCTAGAAGTAATCAACAGGACCTTACGTATTTGGGGAATTAAAAAATTAATTAACTATGATGGTTACAAGTGACAATAGTATGAATAATATAAAATTTTGCTATAGATATTTCTTTATAAATGTGAAAAATACACAAAAATCCCAAAGTATATATATAAGAACATGTACATGGTAATAGCTAATTATAAAATCCTATATCTTTAGATCAAACAGATCTTTTGAAATCACCATTCAGAAAAATTTAGGAGGATTGATTATAAATACCTTACACTTGCACTTATATCTTGTTAGTAAGAAACCAATTGGGGTTGTTTTTTTCCTCATGCACTCATAAACTATTATTTTATTTTGTATCATAGTCTTGAATTTTAATACATTTCCGTAAGGAAGGTAATAGTTTGTGATCACTGCTATAAAAATATAATCTAAAATTAATTATTAGAATAAGAATAGAGCAACATTTGTGAATTATTTTAATTGTACATATTGTTTTATTGTACATAGAATATATACTTAATTCTGTTTTCAGAACATAATGTTTAGAAACCATACAAGCCTTTAAAGTATTGCTTTTTTTTTTTTTTGAGAAAAATCTGCTTCCAGTAGATATAGTTCTACATCTTGGTGAAAGATTACATTTGGCTGCTATTCATGTACTAATTCCTATAGCAAGATCTAGTGGCATTTCAAAAATAATGTGGAGTCTACTGCAATTAAAAAACAATAAAATCTTTGAAATTTTTGGTTATTGAATTTGGCTGTTGTATTTTATTCGAAATCTGAATAATAATAATTCTCTACCTCTCCCATCTTAACTTTGTGGTTAACCAAATATGTTATACAGGCTTGTATTCTTGTTTAAAACTCTTTTTAATGAAGTGCTAGCAAACTTTTCAGTTGAGTGTAATGACTTTTTTAAGTTGTGTTAATTAGCTCAAGTTGATAGACACACACAAATGGTCTCTTTTTAAATTGGAATTAAATATATAAACCCTTTAGTGTTTTATGAGTGTTAAAGTAAAAATATTTTCTTTTGTCCTTTGGTTCTTAATTAATTCACCTCCAAGGCCACCCACGTTTACTGAGTATTAACAACCCCCCTCAATATTGTCTAGTTTGGTGTGAGTATAAGTAAGTCTGTTAAACATTTAGCATTTGTTGACAGGCAGGTTTGTGGTCATTTAAAAATGGGAAATGATATTTCTTATTATCTTTGATAAAATAGAGATGTAACTTATTTTGTAAAAATTATGTTTCAGTATAGGAACATGTAAAAAGAGAAATTTAAATGAATTATATAAAAAGCGTATCAGTAGGCCTAATGTTTCCGACTGTGGCTTATAACAACTTGAGCAACTTGTTATAATTTTAAAATGGAATACTCAGACTTAGAATATGGAAATGCACTCTAGATTGTGGAGTTGGAAAAGTTAATTTTTCTTTGAGAAATGCATTGTTAACACTCGAAACAAGTAAAGTGGTTTATTAGGAAATAAGAATCATAGAAATATTGTTTAAAATTTTTTTTAAAAGTAGCTAAAAAGTTTCAACTTGAAATTTTATCTTTTCTGTTATTTGTTGGGAGCATAATCTATTTATACAACATTCTAAAATTTTAACTTAATTTAAAAATTCTATTATAGACAGGAAATAAATGAACATTCAATAAATGGTAAGTTGCTGTGTGCAGTTCGAAAGAATTATAAATATTTTTAAAGCAACAAAATTTCCTCAGTATAATACTGTCCTCCTTTCTTTTATTAATGTGAATCTGTTTTTTGTCAAGAAGACATTTTTGTCTCTGATAAATAGTTCAGTTGGAGTACAGGGCTGTTTGTAGGTTATGCTGGATCGTATTAAAAAGACTGCGGTAGTTAATGTGATAGATTTATCACTTTTAGCCCTTTCTCACTGATATTTGACCTTAGCTGTAATGTTTTTCCTTTTCCATATACATCTCAGGAGCTAAAACTGACATTACGTTCACCTCTGCTATTTAAATCTACTGAGCCTTTAATAAAGATATTTTCATGTTTACAGTGGCAGTGTATAAAACTTGACTCACCATCTTTCTGATGCTAATTTGATCAGTTTGACTTTATAGTGACATAGCGACGAGATCATTGTGTGGTAACTGCATTAAGGAAGAGTGGATTTGATTGACTTGTGTACCTTTTTATCTGTGTTACTTTCATGTTTTTATTTAAAAGCATTTTGTGGCTAGGATAAGTTAAGCGGTCTAATTTGCCTTTACACGTTTATGTAATTGAAGTTAGTCATGTGACAATGGCTGTAATCAAAGAAAAAAGCTCCAGAATGATGACATATGAACTATCTTGCCCCAAGTACAAGTGTTATTCATAATAATTTAATGGTTCCTGAGGTGTTTTGTCTATCTTTTTTGTTCATATGATAAAGACTTATCCACCTTGTAGCAATTAAAGTGCTTTGCTTTGTTTTACTATAGTCAACTTGTTACTATGTATATTTAGGAGTTCAGCCTGCTTAATTAAGTGGCGAGTTACAATTACACATCTTAGGACAATTGTATTGGGATATCTCTGGCATCACCTTTATGCAAGGTGATGACGCCATGGAGAGAATCCTTCCAAAAGTATCTGTTATATTCATGAAGCTCATTTAGAGAAGGTTCAAAGAATGTCATGTAGTTGTATGAGGTTTTGCTTGCACCAAGATTGATGTACCTTTTGCTGGATGGCTTCTGTATTCGTACCATCAACCAGAATACTCAATACTAATTGTGTTAGTAAGGAGTAGAGGGTTATAATATATATGAAAGGAAAGGGAATCTTGTAAGATTAAGTTAAAATAGAAAAATGGGCAAAAACCAAATATTTCACAGAAAAAAATAAAATATATACAAATGCTATAAAACCTATACCCATGACTTCTTGTTACAAGGGAAAGATAAGTTAAAACTACAGTGAGATACTATTTATCACCTATCAGAATAAGAGACGCTCAAAAGCTTGCAGTTTGTATTTTTAACTTTTAATTTTGAAATAATTGTAGACCCACAACAAGTTGCACATATATCCATGTGTCTTTTACCCAGGTTTCTCCAACTTTCCTGAATGGTGACATCTTATACAGCTGTAGTACAATATCCAAACCAGAAAACTGACAATGGCACATTACTGTTACTAGGCTACAGGTTTTATTACTCTCACCATTTGTTTTACCTGCATTCATTTGTGTGTGTATGAGGGGTGCCTATAGTTCTATGAAATTTTATCCCTTGTGTAGATTAAGATAATCACCACCACAATTAAGAGACAATACTGTTTAACACACACCTCTTTGTATTCATGACCCCCATCCCTTTCTCCTGACAACCACTAATCTGTTTTCCATCTCTATAATTTTTTTATTTCTAGAATGTTACATAAGTGAAATCATATAGTATGTAACATATTAAGAATGATATTTTACTCTAAATATAATATCCTTGAAGTTCTTGTAGTTTGTGATTCATTCTTATCCCTCTGTTATATTCCTATATAAGGATGTGTCTGTTCAACCATTCACCCAATGAAAGACATTTGAGTTGTTTCTAGCATTTTGCTATTATGAATAGGGGTGCTATGAGCATTTGTGTAAAAGTTTGTATGTGATTTATGTTTTTCTGTATTAAATGCCCAAGAGTGTGATTGATGAGTTTTTTTATAAGTGCACGTTTAGTTTTATCAGAAACTGCTGAACTATTTTCCAGAGGGAATGTACTGTTTTACATTTCCTCCAGTAATGTGTGATAGGCAGCAGATTTCTCATCAGAATCCATGGAAGATAAAGGAAGTAGTACAACATCTTTAAAACAGTGAAATAAAAGAACTGTTACCTAAATTCCCTATCTAGTGAAAATATCCTTCAGGAATGAAGGGTAAATACATTCTTATGAAAAGGAAAACTAAGATAAATTTGTCACTAGCAGATCTACTTGTAAAGAATGGCTAGGGCCGGCCGAGTGGCTCAGTTGGTTAAGAGCTTACTCAAGAGTGCGAGCTCTGAGCAACAGCGGTTCAATTCCTGGCCTGAGCTGAGCTGAGCTGCTGCTGAGCTACCAACAGGTGGCAGGAGGGCTCAGCCTAACAACAACAACAAAAAAGAATGGCTAAAGAAAGTTATCTAAAGACATTATATCAAAAGAAGGCTTAGAACTTCAGAAAGAGAAGAACAGTAGAATGGGTAATAATAGAGTTATATATATTATTCTTTTCATGAGTTGAGGCAAAAATTATATCATCTGATGTGATGATGAACATATGTTTTAGAAATATTTAAGACTTAAAGTAAAGAGTTCTTAACTTGATACCAAAAGCATTATCCATAAAAAGAAAAATTGATAAATTGGATCTCATCAAAATTTAATGCATTTCCTCTGCCAAAATCCTGTTTAGAAGATGGAAGAATAAGCTACAGACTGAGAGAAAATATTTGCAAACATGTCCAAAAAAGGACTGGTACCTAGAATATATAAAGAACTCTCAAAACTCAACAGAAAAATAACACCACATAAGAAACAGGCAAAAGTCACACATAGACATTTCACTGAAGAGGATATACAGATGGTAAATAAGCACATAAAGAGATGTTCAACATTACCACTAGCAAAATGCAAATTAAAACCACAATGGGAAGCTCCGCATACCTATCCAAATACCTAATTTTTCTTTTAAATGCTGGGGAGGATGTGGAGAAATTGGGTGACTCCTATACGCCTTGTGAGAGTGCAAAATGGTGAGGTTCCCCTGGAAAACAATTTGGCATTCCTTATAAAACTAAAGATTCAATTACCATACAACTCAGCAATTGCACTCTTATCTCTGAGATGTGAAAACTATGTTCACAGAAACACTTTCATAGCAGTTTTATTCATAATAGCCATAAACTGAAAAGAACTGAGACGCCCTTCTATAGGTGAATAAACAACCTGTGGTATATCGTTACCATGGAATGCTAATTAGCAATAAAAGGAACAAACTATCACCATAAACAAACACTTAGATGAATCTTAAGAGAATTAGACAGATTGACAATATCAGTATGTAACATACTGTATAATTTTATTTATATAACATTCTTGAAATGACAAAATTACTTAGATGGAAAACACATCTGAGGTTGCCAGGGATTGAAATTTGGGAAGGGAGGTGGTCGTGACTATAAAAGAGTAGCAGAAAGGATCCTTGTAATGATGAAACTGTTTTGTGTTTTGAATATTAGAGGTCGAAACACAAACCTGAACATGTGATAAAATTGCATGGGACTAAAACACACATTCACACACACACGAATACATATAAAGATTTCTAAGTCTGAATAAAATTGATAGATTTTATCAATGTCAGTTTCCTGTTGTAATGTTCCACTGTAGTTACCGTTGGGGAAGACTAGCTAAAGAGTACATGGAATATCTCTGTATTATTTCTTACAACTGTATGTGGATTTACAATTACCTGAAAATAAATAATTTAATTAAAAAAATATTTAAGGCTTAAATTTTAAAAAGTGGGGAAGTGAATTGAGCTTCATAAAAATTTAAAAATTTTGTGCTCCATATGTACCATCAAGAAAGTTTAGAGACAACACGCTAAAGGGGAGAAAATATTTGGAAATCATATTTTTGATAAGCGACTGGTATCTAGAATATAGAAAGAACTCATACAACTGAATAATAAAAATATAAATAAACTAATTTGAAAATGAGCAAAGGATTTGAATAGACATTTTTTTTCTGGAAAAGATATACCAATGGCCAATAAGCAGAAATGAGAGCTTTTCTCTCATTTGCTGCTGGGGAGAGGGGGAATGTAAAATTGTTCAGCTGCTTTGGAAAAAAGAGTTACAATACAACTCAGCAGTTTATCTCCTAGGTATATACCCCTACAAAATGAAAATATATGTCGACGTAAATACTTGTACATGGATGTTCATAGCAGTATTATTCATAATAGCCAAAAAGTAGGAGCAACCCAAGTGTACATCAACTGGTCAAAAAGATGGATAAATAAAACGTGGTATACACATACAATGTAATATTATTTAGCAATGAAAAGAAATGAAGCACTTATTCATGCTACAGTATGGATGAACATTGAAGATATTACGCTAAGTAAAAGAAGCCAGCCACAAAAGAACACATATTGTATGATTATATTTATATAAAATGTCCAGAGTAGGCAAGTCTATGCAAAAGGGAGAATAAATTATTGGTTGCCTAGGGTTGGGAGTTTAGAGGGAATGGGGAAATGGGGGATGACTGTTTATGGTTATGGGAGATTTTTTGGGCGATGAAGATGTTCTACATTTGATTGTGGTGATAGTTGCACAAGTCTGTGAATATACCATAAATCCTAAAGCAAACCCTTAGTATATTTATCAAACTTGGTTTAAACGCATTCCCCGAGACTGGCCCCATAAGACTTCTTTTGGTTGTTTTTCTCACCTAACATTTTCGAGTCAAATGGAACAATAAAAAAGAAAGATGAGAAAAACAATTTATAATGCATATTTTCCCCCTAAATGTGATAAAATATACATAACATAAGATTTGTCATTGAACTATTTTTAAGTTTACAATTCAGTGGCATTAAGCACATTCACAGTTTTGTACAACCATCACTATTCATTTCCAGACCTTTTTCATCATCTGTACTCATTCAATAACAACTCCCCATCCCCCTGTCCCCACAGTTCCTGGCGACCATCATTCTACTTCTGTCTCCAGTAGAGTGCCTATAAGTATAACAGCATACAAAACAAAGTGTTGAAAGGATGTGGAGAAATTGGAAACCTCATACTTTACTGGTGGAAATACAAAATGATATAGTTACTTTGGAAAACAATTTTTCATTTACTTAAAAAGTTCAGCATACATGTACCATATGACTGAGCAAACCCATTTTTAGGTATCTATCTGCTTAAGGGACATAAAAACATGTTCACAAAAAGACGTGTGTGCAGGTATTCATAACAGCATTAGGCATAGTAGCAATCAACTGGAAATAATCCAATTTGCCAAGAATGGGTGGGTGAACCTTTTGCTGTAGTACCTCCATACAACTCAGCAATGTAAAGAAACGAATGATCCCTGAAAGCACATGGTAGAAATAAAAAAGTATATAAGTGAAAGAAAATAAAAGATAAATTGCATGACTCTATTTACATGAATATTTTTAGAAAAGCAAGAGATCGCCTGGGGTTCGGGGTTGGAGATCTATAAAGTCATGAAGAAGTTTTGGGGATGATGGAAGTATTATTAAATCTAGATTGTAGTAATGGTTACACAACTGTATATATTTACTAAGCATTACTGACATATATTTATAAAATGGGTGATTTGTATGTTTAAATTTACTGATGATTGGGGAATGACTCCCAGCTATGGTGAAGAGGTAAGCAAATCTGTTCCCCAGACAATAAGTACGTTACTGGACAGAATGTTAAAAAATAACTGCAGGCGTACCTGGGAGATATTGTGGGTTTGGTTCCATAACACTACAATAAAGTGGATATTGCAATAAAGCAAGTCACATGAATTTTTTGATTTCCCAGTGCATGTAAAAGTTATGTTTACACTCTACTGTAGTCTGTTGAGTGTGCAATAGCATTATGTCTAAAAAAACAATGTACATACCTTAATTTGAAAATACTTCATTGCTAAAAAATGCTAGTGATGATCTGAGCCTTCAGTAAATTATAATCTTTTTGCTGGTGGAGGGTCTTACCTTCAATTTGTAAACCAAGAACAACAAAAAACCCCCCTGCAATATCTGTGAAGCACAATAAAGCAAAGTGCAATAAAATGAAGCATACCTGTATTGGCGGCCTCTAGAAATTGAGCAAAAGCTAACAATGAAGTGATAGGCATGTAGGAGTATTCATGAAAAGATGCTCGAACTTGACTATCAATAATAGGAGAGAGTGGCCTCGCTTGAGGCTGCCCTGACATTTGTCTGGAGCTTGGTGAGCGTGACAGCTTTACCTCTAATATATGGCTGTTGGTGTTTAACTTGTTATGTTGTTTTTCCTTGTTCTTTTCCAATCATGAGCAAGAATTTTCCAGCAGGTCATAATACAATAAGAACTATGTGTTTCTTACTGCTCTATGTAGCTGATTTTATGCTTTTTGTTTTTTTTGTGAACCTACATTTCAAGAAATTATTGTCTCTGTCATCTACAGTCAAGTTAACCGACTGTTTTTAGAGTTTATGTGATTGACCTGCTGGGGTAATATTATATCTTTTCCTCATTCCCAAAGTGGCATTCTCACCTTATATTGACAAGGATAACCTTCTAGTATAGTGAAAGCGTGTTATTTGGTCAGGGAGATTGTGGTGTAGCTATGTGTATCTTCAGGCTCAGTAATTGGTAAGTAAAGGGTAACTTCCATTTGCTTTCCTTTTGTAAAGGTGCTTGTGAGTGAGGATTCGGACAGTGATGGGATCGTGGCCCACTTCCCGGCTCATGAAAAACCAGTTTGCTGTATGGCTTTTAATACAAGTGGTATGTCTTTTTTTTGTTTTGCCATTTATATCATGGGTTTTCAATTTATTTTTTTAGAAATGGAAAATATGAAATATGGAATCTGGCTTTTTAAAAAAATTTAAAATTTACTGGGGTGACAGTGGTTAGTAAAATTACATAGGTTGCAGGTGTATAATTCTGTAATACTTCTATATATCACATTGTGTGTTCACCACCCAGAGTCAGTTCTCCTTCCATCACCATGTATTTGACCCTGTTTATCCTCATCTAATATGTGTCATTGTATATCAAAAAAGTAAGTAGTCTTCAGAAAATGGTTATTGAATGAATGAGTTTATAGTAAATATTTAGATACCTTCTTTTTAGTTTTTATTAAATTTATTGGGGTGATGCTGGTTAGTAAAATTATATCAGTTTCAAGTGTACAATTCTATATCACATCATCTATATATTGCACTGAGATACACTTGAAACATTAGTTTTAACTCTCAATAACGTGGGGATTGAATGGCAGCAGTAGGTAAACAGTGCTGTTGAGTTGCATTTATTTCTGTATTGTGAGTATTATTAAGCCAAGAACTTCAATATTCCAAACTTCATATTTACTCATATGTATGTAAATAGCATTTTCTTTGTAACTTCAAGTTTCTTTTTAACCCTGTAACATTTTATAACCTAGTTTACTTGTATTTTTTTCTGTGTGAATATGTGTGTGTGTGTGTGTGTGTGTGTGTGTGTGTGTGTGTGTGTGTGTGTGTGTGTTTTTTAGCTGAGCCATCCTGCTACCTGTTGGCAGCTCAGCGGCTGCTCAGCTCGGGCTGGACTTGAATCGCTGTTGCTCAGAGCTCAAACTCTTGAGCGAGCTCTTAACCAACTGAGCCACTCAGCCGGCCCTCTTGGTTGTTCTTAATGCATTTGATAAGGAGATATGTTATAGCAATGTGGAATGCCCTATTACTTTTCATTTTTTTCTCCAAGATTTTTATTATAAAAAGTTTCAAACATAAAAATAGATTTAAAAGATAATATAGTAATGACCCGTGTACCACCAACTCGATTAAATAGGTGTTCACAATTTAATATATACTATATTAAATATATAAATAATATAATATATATGTATGTGTATTTTGCATAACCATTTGAATATAAGTTACATATAAGATAGCATTTCACCCACTGCAAATGAACTATGCATTTCCTAAGAATAAGGACTTTCTCCTACATACCAAATATTATATTTTAGTTCAGAAAATTAACACATTATATTATTTAATATCCAAGGCATAACTTAAAATTCCCCAGTTCTCTCACTGCTTCAAACTGAGATCTAATTAAAGTTCAGTTCTTACATTTTATGGCTCTTTAGTTCCTTTTAATTCAACATAGAACTTCTACCTTTTCGTTTTTGTGGTGTCCAGACCAGTTACCTTATGCAAATTCTGCATTTGTCATATTTTTTCATTATAATAATGTTTTCTTTATTCCCTAAAGAGGCTTTTAAATACATTCAGGCTATAAGGATTTTTTTTAACTTCATAAGTATTGCTGTCTACATCATTTCATCCCAGCAGGAGACACATGACATCAGGTTGTCTTGCTATTTATGAGAATATGTCTGATCATATGGAGAAGTTAGTGACCCATCCGGTGTTTGATATTGAAGATAGGTTTCTCTTGTGGAGATTAGCAAGTAATCTGCAGAGTGTTATTTTGACCTCATTTCTGAAACAACTTTTTACTTAGTAGTTTTGTTACACTGAGGGCTGTGTAACAAAATTTTATTTTTCTAATTCTATTGTATTTTCTCCATCGATTATCTGCTATTCCATATATATATATATATTTCCATATATATTTCCATATATATGAGAGGAAACTTTTATATAACATATGTATTATGTTATATATAATTAATCATATTAATAATATGTAACCTAATAATATATAATTAATATAATTAATTATATATAATATATTATATAAAAGAGTTTTCTGTTATCAACCAGGAGTGAACCACATTTTTCTGGTGTGTGAAAGGCAGAGTCAATGCTTAATTCTTTCCCTTTAGTTACCAATTTTCATAGTTAGGAATCGGTTTAATGCTTTCAGTGGTGGAATTCCACCCCAGTGGAGTTAAGTTTTAAAATACTTGATTTCTAAATAAAAGCTAAAATTGCTCTTTTGCTTTTAGAGCTGAAAGAGTTTTCATAAACTTACAATCTTTTCAGATCTTATTTCTGTGGCTGATAAATCTGAAGAGACTGCCATTTTTCTCTTATTCTGCAGAAATGATCCCATTAGTTAAAACTGATGGAAAGACCCATCTTCCCCTTCGTTTCATCTTTTCAAATAAAGAATGATGGTTAGAGGAAAATATAGAGTACTTTGAATAATCTTCCTTTTAATATCTTAGTCATTTTTGATAGCAAGATTTTTGTAGTGATTGTTGATCAGTACAATTGATTTAATTAATGAAGACAAAGATTTATTGGAGTGCTCTGAACGTTGTGGGAATTAAGTTAAATTTGAAGAAACAGTCTGAAAGTTATGTCCCCTACAGCACTCCACTTGGAGTAACCAGTATGACTCATTTTGATACTCCACCTGCTATGTCAAATCTCCTTTGTATTAATGTATATTTCATATTACCATAGTCAGAGTGCTTCAGACACTGGAAGCTGTATTTTTTCCTGTCTATGACTTTCCATTATAATAAGAACATGTTGTTTAACTTAAACAATGTTGTAGTGATCGCTATCATTGTGTAGCAATTAATTCTGGAAAGCCAGAGTTTTTTCCTGTGGTTTCATAGTTTTGATCTACATTCACCATTTTATTTCTTTTTTTTTTTTAAAGATTTTTTTATTGGGGAATTGGGGGGAGGGGAACAGCATTGGGGAATTGGGAAAGGGGAACAGAAACAGACAGGTAGACAAATTGCTGTTTTTGTTCTTCAGTCTAGTTGTGGAGGACGTCAATTCACTGGCCCATGTGGGTATGATCATTGTGCTCTTCCCCGGTGAGGCAATCGTTTGTCGGTCATTGGTTGGCCGCTCACAGCGGCTGGCGGCTGCTCATGCTGGCTGCCAGCCACTCACATAGCTCACGGCAGCCCACTGCAGCCCCGCTGCAGCCTACACCTTTGCCGGCCATTCACAGCAGCCCAGCTCCAGGTCGAGCTGTTGTTCATCATCTTAGCTGTAGAGGGCAGTGTCACTGGCCCTCAATGTGGGATCTGAACCACAGCCCTGCTGCTCAGAGCTGGCTCTCTCAAGCGAGCTCTTAACCAGCTGAGCCACTTGGCCGGCCCACCATTTTATTTCGATTTGAACTCCCAATTTGTGTTTTTATGATAAGATTAAACATTTTTATATTTATACCTACTTTTTTGCATTCATGGAACACTAGTTGTATAACTATATAATTTATCTTGCAGAAATAATTTCTTTAAATATTTGTTTCCCTAGCTAACCTCTGAGTTCTAGTTTATGTTAGGGTTCACTCTTGGTGTATATAGTCTATGGGTTTTGACAAACATATAATGACATGTGCCCACTTTTATAGTGCTGTATAGAATAGTTTCACTGTCCTAAGAATCCCCTTTGCTCTGCCTGTTCATCCCTGTCTCCTTCAACCCCTGACAACCACTGATCCTTTTACTGTTTCCATAGTTTCAGTTTTTCCATAATGTCATATATTGGAAACTACACAGTATGTAGCCATTTCATATTGGCTTCTTTCACTTACTAATACACATTTAAGGCTCCTCCATGTCTTTTCATTGCCTTTCTTGCTCATTTCTCTTTAGCACTGAAAATAATATCCCATTATATGGACATACTATAGTTTATTTGCCATTGTATATCTTCTTTGTTGAAGTGTCTGTTCAGATCTTTTGTCCATTTTTAAATTGGCTTATTTGTTTTTTTATTGTTGAATTTTCAGGGTTCTTTGTGTATTTTGGATAACAGTCCTAAATCAGATATGTGTTTTATAAATATTTTCTCCCAGTATGTGGCATGTCTTCTCATCGTCTCAAAAGTGTTTTGTTTTTGTTTTTGTTTTAAAGATTTTTATTGGGGAATTGGGGGGATGGGAACAGTGCTGGGGAATTGGGGGAAGGGGAACAGACAAGTTGCTGTCGTTTTATTCTTCAGTCTAGTTGTGGAGGACGTTGTTTCACTGGCCCAAGTTGGCACCATCATTGTGCTCTTCCCAGGGGAGGCAGATCAGTCACTGGCTTCTGGACGGCTGCTCACTGCGGCTGCTGGCCGCTCACGCTGGCTGCTGGCTACATACGGTAGCCCATGGCAACCCACTGCAGCAGGGGCTGCAGCCTACGCTGTTGCTGGCGACTCACGGCAGCCCAGCTCCAGGTTGAGCTGTTGTTCAGCATCTTAGCTGTGGAGGGTAGTGTCACTGGCCCTCTTATGTGGGATCCGAACCGGGGCCCTCTGGCGACACAAGCCAGTTCTTAACCATTGCGCCACTCGGCTGGCCCTTGAAAGTGTTTTTGAAGATCAGAAATATTTAATTTTAATGAAGTCCAGCTTATCAATTATGTCTTTCATGGATTGTTCCTTTGGTGTATATGTAACATTTTAATACATTAATTGACATTCTTCTGTCATATTTTTAATTCAGTCTCACGTTGAATCTTGTAATTTCTTGGAGGGAAGATAATTTTATGAGAACTATTTTATGAGTTTTAGGATCTCTTACATTTCTTCTGGAATCTAAATCAAGGCTTCTTGATCTGAGTCCAAGATCTGAGAGGTCCATGGATAGAACTCAGAGAGTATGTGAACTTAGAAAGGAAAAAACATTCCATCTTTATTTTCTCCAATCTCTAAAGAAAATTTCTTTCACTTACAAATATTTACAATAAACCACGGAAATACTAGCTTTATACCTGAGTTTGTGAGCAATAAAAATAATGGGTATTTTAATTTCATTTCTATGTTATATCTAGTATTCTCTACATATTGCTATGGTTCAAAATTGTGTGGGCCGGC